AGTCAGGGTTACCTTCTCCAGAGACCCTGGCCTGGGAACTGGGAAGATATCTGACCTAGCTCTTTAATAATAGCCCCTTGTGAGCTCTGAGCCTCCATAGGCCCTGAGAAGAATGGGGGCTAGAGGTAGTGGGTGGGCAGGGCAGGGCAGGACAGTGTGCGGACAGATCTGAGGCCCTCAGCCTCATGCTGAGAGGGCAGTGCAGACATTTAGAGCTGGGAGGATGTGTAAAGGTGGTCACCATTCACCAGTTAGTCTGTGATGAGTCAGCCCAATTTCCCATTTCAGGGCCCGGGAAGGGGACCGTAGGGGAAAAGCAGTAGGAGAAAGAAAGGGAATTTAAGGTTTAAAAGGGAAACGGCAAAGGTGGTTGAAGGGATTATGGTGCACTTAAAAGTCAACTGTATAAAAAAAGGAGGTATCATTAGTATATTGCAATCACATCTAGATTTAATCTAACTGAATTTCTTCTTCCTTCCCCTATGTCAGACAGGGCTGACAAAGAGTAAACAGATGAGGCATCAAAACTCAGCAACATTTAGAGCACCATCAAAGCAAGAGAAAGAACCCAATCCAACAGGTGCCAAAGGCCCACTGGCATGGGTAATCTACCCAAAGACGACAAAGATCTTGGCCACGTTCATGCCTCTCTGTTCTCCCTGAGATTGGAATCTTATCTTCACTATTCTTTCCCATTCTGGAACTTCTCACCAATAGTACTATGAGTGCCTAGTAATCAATTGACTTACAGTCTAGTACAGGGTTCCTAGTCTTGTTTTTATTTTTTTTAATGAAATCCATAGGATAATGACACTCACATGCACAGTATGTGAGTGTCCTATGGCATTCTCAGATGTTCACAAAACACACAAAAAATGTAAGCATGCTAATAATTCCTTTGCCGCATATGCCACATTCCTATTCATCATATACCAGACTCCCTTCAAGCTGCATGGGTGAGTGGTATGTCCACCCTGTTGTTGTCCAGTCAGGAAAGCATTTGGGAAGGCAAGTGACCAAGAGGGAGGGTGTTATAAGAACAATATTGAATTTATTTGTGTTTATTTTTTAAAAGGGGAAACCACAAATTTTAATATTTTACCTCATAACAAATTATCTGCCATATACTGTTCAACTGCTCAGACACACTGTCATGTCATGACATCATGAGAGCCACTGGCCTGGAGCAGCATTCCTGGCTCTCATACCAAAGGCCTGGGCGCGGGAAGGGCAACTTGGAATTATAGGATGGGATCCTCGAATCCATGTATACACTAAGCATTGCAGCACTCTAAATAAATAGCTTGTCTTGGATTGACACTACCACCCTTCAATATATACAGGTGTATAGGAATTAATAAAATTCATACTGATTTCAACACTGCTGAATTCACAGTAGTTCTTTATCATGTGTTTTCTCAGTCAGGAATTATCAAAAGTACAATCTTAACATGGTTAGGGGCTACAATGCAGAGAAGAGAGTGGAGCTGTACGAATCAAGGTTTCCAATGATATAAAAAGGTTCATCTTTTTAGGCAAAAATGTGGACAAAGGACAGCAGCAGAAAATGAGGCCAGTGTTTCTCACAGCAAGGCTACTAGATCACCAACACAGAACCCTCCAGTTGCTGGTCAAAATCTCTAGGGGTGGTGTCTTTAATGAGACCTCCTAATGACTTCAACTAAGTCTGAGAATTGCAATCACTGGTTCTGAATACACTGTGAAACACAGTAGTGAGACATCACAAAGTATGCTCCGAGAGGTTTTAAAAGAAGGAGAAATACATTTGTTTGATGGCAGGACCATGTGCAGATAACCCCCCCCCATCAAGGGACCATACTGTAGGCATTTTCTTGGTCTCTGGGGTGTGTTAGAGTCAAGGTTCAGAGGGAGCATGGGATTCCCCTGCACAGTCACTTTTTGTTGTTTTCCAAAAGCCCCAGAGGGTGTGGAGACTGGAAAACAGGAAGATGATGGCCTTTGCCAAAGTGCTTCCAACTAGATAATGAAATTATTCTGTTTATGGAGTTTATAGCGATCTGAAAATAACACTAATCTTTCTCATAGAGGGGCTATGGGAGGCTCTCTGATAAAGATAGATTTAAAAAAACAATATCTTGGCAATAGTTTCAGATTAGAAATAAATCATTGATTAAAAATAGAATGAATGTTAAATCTCTTCAAGATGCTATGGCAATCTCTAGGAGCAAAAATTCTTTTCTATAGGAATTTAAAAATCAAACAAACAAAAACCCCAAATATGGACTTTTGAGAATTATTTAAGAGGCACTAGAAACTCCAAACTAAAAATAACTATCACCAGACCCAGGAGGAGAAAGTAGAGTCAGCAATTATCTAACAACAAGAATTAGGGTGCTAAAAATCGCTTAAGTCCTGTCTCAGGGACATAGACAACAAGACAGTTTAGCCATCAACTCTGCACAGAACCTGAAGCTGGGCAGAGAGACTGCCTTTTAATCCCATCGTTGCCCCTGAACAGTTTGTGTGGCCTTGCACAACTGACTTCACTCTCTAAGCCACCATTTCCTCATCTGAAAAATGAGAACAATGACAAAGTAGTCTATCCTCACCCTCTCTTACAGGTAGTTGTAAGGATTGTGGAGCAAGTGCACGTGAGAGTTCAATCACACTCCTTGGCACAGAGACAGCACTGATGCATGTTAATGATGATTGTTTTTACATTTCTACTACTTTTATTTTAAACCAAGAATGTCTGTAATGCCAAGATATTCAGGACATTCATAAAGAGCTCCTTTATTGGGGAGGGGGTGGTTGTTCAGGAGTGCTAACCTTGTGGGTTTAAAATCTGCACATACTCTGAGTCCATCGTCTGATAGTAAACCTTCCCCAGGGGTGCTCTCCTTCTCCCACTTCCCACAGCAGGCCTGCCACAGAGTATGACATGGTGGCTACAGAAAAGTGGAGAATGTGTGTATCTAGATCACCATGAGCTCTTTTCTCCTTCTTCCTTTCCCTAATGACAACAATTATAATTAGGGTTACAACAGATCTCTGGTTGTTGAGTGTCTCCTGTTCCTGGCACTGAAGTGAACACTTGAAACACCTTTTCCTACTTGACCCTAGGCAATACCACTGGAACAAGCATGGGTGGGTGCAGTTACTAACACTTTGCAGAGAACAGTGATGCCTTGGGATGGTTCATAGGCCCCCAACTGACTAAGTCACAGTAAGAACACCCTCAGCAGGGTCTGCTTAACTCCAGGTCCCTGAATGGAAGATAACCGATGCCAGCCCCTTCTTCCAACACAATCCAAATGATGGTCTCAGTGCTCCTGTTCAGTCAAGCTACAAAACAGAGCTTGGACAGGAGAGGAGGCCTATACCTCTGGGAGACATAGTGTGACCATACCCCCTTCCAGATGTTTCTGACATGTCCCTCTAAGGTTGACCACAGCCACAGTGACAAATATGTATTATACTGCAACTCAGATGTATATCTACTTCAAAGGTTTTTATGAAACAATGCACACATTCATGTAAAGCCTTCTGATGTTTTCTGATTCTATTTCATTCTTTCATGAAAAATAAGAACGTAGAGAAATTGCAACCTTTATGCAACTAACAGGAATGTACAGCGGTCTACTCTCTGAAAAATAGTTTGGCATTTCCTTAAAATCTTACACAGGGTTATTAAATGACCTGGAAATTCCACTGCTGAGTATATACCCAAGAGAAATGAAAACATACATGCATGCAAAAACTTAAGCATCAGTTATTATTCATAGATGCATTATTCATAGTAGCCAAAATATAGATATAAACCAAATGTCCCCCAACTGAGGAATGAATAACAAAATGGGATCTATATCCATCCAATGGAATGTTACTGAGCCATAGAAATGAATGAAGTACTGATCCATGCTACAAAGTCGGGGGAACCTGAAACCACCTATGCCAAGTGAAACAAGCCAGACACAAACACTGGGCCTTGCATGATTTCATGGGAACCGTTGTCTGGAACAGGAAAATCTATACTGGTTGTTGCTGGGAGGGAAGGTGGGGGAATGAGGAGTGGGTATGGGGTCTCCTTTTGGGGTGATAAAAATCTAACAATAGATGGTTGAAAAACTGTATGAATGCATATAAAAATAAATTATACACTTTAAAAGGGTGGGTTTATTAGTATGTGAATTATATATCAATACAGCTATTTAAAAATGATGGCTGTGGCCCAATAAATGGATTTCATCATCCCAAATGGGTCACAACACAGTTGAAAATTATTGTCCTAGAGCACACCTCCCACTGGCCATGCCTGTCCTCTACATGAGAATCCCTGAATGACCTGGAGAGTTAGGAAGATGGCAGTCTTTGGGTGGGCAGATGGACAGACAGATGGAGAGGGGTGAACGTGTGGAAGGAGGAATGAAAGCCATCTGTGCAACAATATCCATCACCCTTCTTTAGTTAAGGAATCTTGGCTGCACCTGTGGCATCACGTGCTCAGCTAAAGACCACGTTTCTCTTTCTCTCACTGCTGGGTGGCCATAATAGAGCTTTGGGTGAGATTCCTGGGGAGCACTGGAAGGAGCTGACTCAGTGGGATGGGTGTTCCCTTTGTCCACGCCCCCTTCTTCTTGCCTCAAATCTGAACACGATGGCTCAATCTCCAGGAGCCATCTTGTGACCTAGGGGTGGGAGGCAGGCCTAAGGCTGGCAAAGCAAAGAACAAGAGACTGGGTCCCAATGCCTTCCGGAAGCCACCTGGGCTGCCCACCTCTGGACAGCCTTCATGTGACTGACTGAGCAAATCCCTAATTTGTTCGCACCACAGCCTCTGGAATTAGCAAAGGGATTTCTAACTGATACGTCATCTAAATGAATCAAAGCTCCCCTTGCTGTAGGTGAGCTGAGGACAGACCCATCTAGAAATAGCAGCTGCTTTCCCAAGCAGGACCTTCTGCCTCCCAGCCTTCTGCAAGAACTTCTCCCTGAGTCCCGCGTCTGAAGGGAAATACCTGGTGATTTTGAATATCCTCAGGAGCCGAACACATCTGAGCACAGAGATGCCCAAGGGAGACATGACCTTGGTCTCCACCAGGATGGTCTCCAGGATGCCCCCGCACACGATAAAGCAGTCAAAGCGGTTGAAGAGCGACACGAAGTAGGCCTGCAGGCCCAGGCTGTACATCTTCAGCAGCATCTCCGCGGTGAAGAGGGCCAGGAGGGCCTTGTTGGCTGTGTCTGGCAGGTTCAAGGGTGGGGTATGATCCAAACAGGTATGAGAGGAGGGAAAAGGGGGAAGAGGAAAAAGAAAACACAGTAATCAATCACCACTGAAAAACAAACAAACTCTCCCTTCCCTTCCCAGCCAGGACACCTCTCCCATTCACTACCACCAAAAATTAGGGCCAAATCCACAAGAAAAGGTATCTAGTTACAATCACAACAAATATTTACCAAGTGTAGTAACCTCTCCTTATCCATAGGAGATACATCGCAAGACCCCCAGTGGATGCCTGAAAGCATGGATAGAGCGGAACCCTGTATATACTTATTTTTTCCTATACATATATACCATAACAGGGCGAGATGTCACCATACTACTCAGAAAGTGTGCCATTTAAAAACTTATGAATTGTTTATTTCTGGAATTTTCTTCATTTAGTATTTTCAGACCATGATTGACTAAAGTAACTGAAACTTTGGAAAGCTGAAGTGAGAATAAGGGTTGACTACAGTGTCTACTACAAAGGCTTTGCATGACTTATTTTCTTTACTCCTCACAGCAGCTCTCTGAGGTAGTTATTATTGTCATTGAGCCCATTTTTCATATATAATAAGTAAACCAGTAAGCCAAGGGGGGAAGCCAGGCCATCCAAGTCTGGAATGCAGCCCCTGTGTCTGCCAGACTCCATGGGAGTGGTGCTGAGGTGCTGGCTAGTGAGTCCTTCTCCCAGGGCTCCAGGAAAGGGCATGGACACTGACTACCCATCGAGGACAGCTCCTTGTGCTCAGGCCACTGCTGTCCTTTCCCCTGTGTTTTGCTCACCTTGTCTTCACATACCCTGCAAGCCTACCTGGACTTACCTCCACATGTACCTGGAGGCAATAATAAAGCCTGAAGTATTGAAAGTCAATTCTGGGAGGTTGGCAGCCAAGGGTCTGAGATAGCCAAACAAGGTATGGCATGTGTCCTTGTCACCTGGACCCAACAGTGACTGTTGGGGCAGGAAGATGGCGTGGACCCAGCCAGTGAGCCACAGCTGTTTATGATGAGGTTGTGCATTTTCTTGTGGGGTTTGCAAGCTGCCAGGCCCTTGGTGTCCTGGCATGGCGACTGCCAAGAGCTGTGGCCACTGGCTGCTTTCCCATCCACCTTCTGCCTGCACTGCCCCTCCCTGGGATTCAGGGCTGAGGTGGCTAGAGTGAACTGGGAGAACGCTGGGGCCTGCTTCTCACCTTGCACTTCTGTGAGCCAGTGGGGCTGGTTGTAATGTTCTGAGGCAATGGTGAGCGTGTTGAGGAACACCAGGAAGATCACAAGCCAGTAGAAGACATTGGACTTGACTGCGGCACGACACTTTCTTCTGCAGAACCGATTCCACCGACGCCAGTAGCGACTAGAAAGAGGTAGACAAGAAGAGAAGGATGAGAGGGAGGTGGCTATGAAATTCAGATTTCTTGTGATCTGAAAGGCACCACTGTGGCTTCCTTTCACCTCATAACTGACTTGGCCTCACTAGAGAGCAGCATAACCTGGCACCAAGGGGATAAGCTTTCAAGCTAACTGGGTTGCTGCCATTTAGCTCTGTGGCCTTGGGTTTGTCCCTGCTCCTCCCTAAGCTTCCCTCCTGTCATCTGTGAAATGGGAATATGGCCAACCTCACCAGGTTGTTGTGGGAATTGATGGACCATATATGTGTCTAGCATAAAGCTAAAAGTGGTCAAAAATGGAATTATTTTATAATAATGGCAGTATTAGAAATAATACTGCAAGCACTAGCAGTATTATTACTGTAGTGGTGGTAGTATTAGGACTAGTAATGTGTTGCCATGAACAAAACCTCACGTAGGCTCAGTACCATATTAGGTGTCTCTCATTAAGCACTCCCTAATTCTCTAAATAACTCTACGAAGCAGGTGTTGTCCTAGTTTTGAGGAAGAACAAACAAAGGGCCATGGAGGTTAAATCCCATGGCCACAAGCACACAGTGGCAGTGGCCCCTTGGTCTTCCCCCAGCACCCCCATCTCTCGCTCTTACTTTATGCAGCCTCATCTGTAAAGTGTAAGGGCTGAGTCTGGAGCAGAGCTCCTTTGCTTTTTGAGGGATACAGAATCTGCTGAGAGTCTGATGAGTACTTAGATCTTCTGTTCAGAAAAATGAGGGCACCCCCACACACACACACCTCCACATACAAGTTCATACAGCACGTGACCCCCACAAAGCTCAGCCCTGATCCATACCAATGTCCCCTTGGTCTCTTGGTTAGAGACTGTTGTCAGTGAGTCTCAACCCTGGCTGTGCACAGCATCACCTGGGAAAAGCTTAAAAGATGACCAAGAAACTCCACCTAAAACCAGGTCCTAAGCCCAAACCAATTAAATCCAATTTTCGGGGGACTAGGTGCTTTTTAAAATAGCAAAACAAACCAACAAACAACCCCCACCAAAACCTGCTGGTAGTTTTTAAAGCCCCACAGATGATGCTAGTGTGCAGCCGTGGCTGAGGGCCATTAAAAGCTAGATGGTCCCGAGAGAACAGACACATTTTATAGCTCTGTGGTGGAGGGGTTTAAAGCTTATCCCTAATTTCATCCTCACGATGCAGAGAAAATATATGGCCATATTTGGTAACTCTCTTGACCAGACATTTACCAAGTGTTCACACTGTGCAAAAGACAGAAGGGTAGGGACGCTAGAGCCGTGCTTGGGAAGGAGATGAGGGGCCATGCTGAGGACTTGGACAGGGAGAATGAATGACAGGATATGATTTTAGAAAACCAAACAACTAACAAAACAACCACTCTGTCAGCTTCTAGATGAGGAACAGCAGGAAGGGTGCTCTGTCAGACACTCGGGTTGAAGAGGATGAAGGCAGTAGTCATATGCATGGAAAAAAGGACACTGAGTTGACACCAATTTTGGAGGCAAAATCAACAGTCCTTTGAATGTGCAGGGTGAGAGAGAAAGGTATGGAAGGGACACCCCAAATGTCTAGTGGGGTGATCAGAAGGGTGGCCCGTCTAAGCAGTACAGGTGCAGATAAGGAGAAGCAGTGCTCTGGGCATGGAGGTTGCTCTGAGAAACTGGGGTGCTCAGCTCAGGAAATAAACTTGAGGTGCTGGCAGATTCTTTGTAGAGAAACCCACCAGGCAGTTGCAGATGGGGAGAAATAAAGGACTGGGTAATAAAGAAGGCACGGTGGAGGGAGGGGACAAAGCAGAATCTTAGAGCAATTGTCCAGGAACATCTGTATTCACATCTGTATTCTAGGTCTCCAGGCAGGTAGACCTCTGCTGTTTATGGAGCCCTTCACTCATCTCAAATTGCTTTCCGGGATAGCTTGACTTCATCTATATTTCTACCTACTGTCCATGGAAAATCCTGTTAGCAAATCTTAGTGAAAATCTATAATGAGATGAGAGAAGTGGGGAGTATATCGGTGAAGGGTGCAGCTTCCTCGGAACTGCAGAGAAAACTCCGTTTTGGGCTTGCAGAGCAAGGAAGGGTTAATTGGGTGGTGTTCTGATCTGACCCCTGTATCACCGTGGCACTGGGATGCCCTCTTCAGCGAGCGCCAACCCTTTGTAGGGAACACTTACCTGCTACCTAGGGGAAAGTCACCACACACCGAAGAAATGCCTCAAGGTCAGAAAATTAGAGCTTTCAATGCACTTAGGGAGGCTTCCATCCTCTATACACACTGCCCTGGGTAAGAGTGAGGATGTGCGGCAGTGGAGGGAGGGGCAGGGAAAGGGGACAGGAGTCTCAGGTGGCTGGTCCTTAGTGAGCAGGAACTTCTGGAGATGGCCAGACCTCAGTCATGAGGAGTCTTATCTTGCCGAGGCAGGACTCTGCTTCTATCCTGTTACTGCGGTTATTAACATTGCAGGGGAATTTGGTAACACCATTTTTTATCCTGAAAAATGAATTTGCAGGACAAACTCATATCTGACCTTAAGAAGCTTACATTGTAGTTTCAAAAAATGCTTCAAGTACATACAATGTCATGTTACAGAAATCACTGACACTTGTCATTCGGAATCCAAAGGGATCGAGTTTGCCTTCTGTCACAGTATGTAAGAGCTGACTTGGAGTGAGTTTGGTGCTGAGAACTTAGATTAAGCTCCCCTTCCCCCAAGTCTGGGGCAGTGGCTGCAGGGTGTGATATGGTCAGGCCTGTCCCCTGGGTCTGGAATGGCTCTGGTCGAGCCCCTGCAGGAGTGGCTGTCAGATAGGGCAGGACTCCTACTTCGTGCTGTTCCTGTGCGCAGCCGTTCAGGAGAGTCACGCGGGTTTGAGCTGTGGTGGGGGTAATTACTACCCCGGGAAAGTATTTAAAGATAATTATACACCTCCCACTCTTCAAAATATAGCTTTGCTTGACAACTGGTTTCCTGGCAACGCTTCCTACTGTATAATAAATGTAATGGTTTATTAGAATGTGTAAATTTATTTGTGTTTACATATGCATGGAGGATATAGAAATTAAATGATAAAATAGGGAGGAGAAATGTGCCTGCTGTTCACATTCCCTTCACACTAACTGGAAAAGTCACTTACCCTAGAAATAGAACTTTCCATATGCAGACATAGGGGAGAGGGATGGCTATGAATGTGTCTAACCCACTTCTTCTACATTGTTGCATTCGATAGGGTATTTCTTCTCACTTACCTCGGGTCCTCTTACCTCTTTCCAATACTGGGCCCTACTCTAGCCTTTCCACCTACTGGGGCTGTACCCCCAGGGCACAGGACCACCCACCTCCCACTGCTAAGTCCTGTCCACCCTGGCTTCCCCACCGTGCACTTTTCTAGTCTTCCCAGACTCAGAACTACTGTCACCCTCTCTCTGCCTTATTAATTTAGTTACACATAAAAGAAATACTTACTGAACACCTACCATGGGCTAGGTACTAGATATTCAACAGTTAACATGCTAAACATGGCCTTTGTCTGCACAAAACTCATGTGGGTGATACTGACCACTAAGCGAGCAATCCAAGAGCAGGATTGGTGCCAAGGTGGGCATAGCAGAGCACATCAGAGGGCATCCTAGCCGGTCACAGAGGAGCCAGAAAAGGTTCCCCAGAGGAAAGAGCCTCCCAGTTATTCTCTACTGTATGGATCTGCAATGATGTCATAAGGTCCATTAGGGAAAGGAACTGTGTTCAGTGCAGGCCACCTCACACAGTGAGGACACTTGCTGACAGGCTGGCAGAGCAGCGGGGACAAACTACGCAGATTTGGAGACAAGTTTTGAGAGGCCTCTGGCCTCTTGTGATCCAGGGATGAGGGTGGGTATGAGGAGAGGGCAGTGCTCCTGAGAGAGTTTTCTTGGCATATAATTTTTGACAGTCATCTATAATAGTAGTGGACACTTCAGGGCCTTTATAGTGGCTACAGAACAGAACAAGAAACACAGAAAGTCATTAAATTTAATTATTTTATATATAAGTAACTTAAAAATGGGCCATAGGGCCCTGGCTGGTATGGTTCAGCTGGTTGGGCTTTGTCTTACAAACTGGAAGGTTCTGGGTTCAATTCCCAGTCAGGGCACATGCCTGGGTTGCAGTTTGGTTCCCAGTTAGAGCTGCATAAGAAAAGCAAGCGATCGATATTTCTCTCTCACATCAATGTTTCTCTCCCTCTCTTTCTCCTTCCCTTCCTCTCTCTAAAATCAATAAGCATGTCCTTGGGTGAGGATAATAGATAGATAGATAGATAGATAGATAGATAGATAGATAGATAGATAAAAAAGTAAAAATGGACTATTAGAGATTGGGAAAAATCTGGGTGCCTTGTTGCTCATGGGATAGCAAAAGTAGAGGGAAGCATGGAGGTGCATTTCACTGAATACGGGGCAAGGCAGTCCTCCAAAATTTTAGAACCCTGTGGGTTCCACTTTAAAACTCTGTAAAATAGAGATCTGGAAACCTCAACAGGTTATCCGATTAATCCTTTCAAGTTGCATAATACTTTCAGAATTATTTGTCCCCTAACCATGTAAATCCTATTCTGGCCCTGGTTGTGTGGCTCAATGAATTGAGTCCCAGCCTGCGAACCAAGAGGTCCTCAGTTTGAATCCCAGTCAGGGAACATGCCTGGGTTGCAGGCCAGGTCCCCGGTCAGGATGCATGAGAGGCAACCACATATCAATGTTTCTCTCCCTTCCCCTCTCTCTAAAAATAAATTAAAATCTTTTTAAAAATAATAAATCCTATTCTGAACAGTGAGCCTCAAATGTTGCAAAATTCCTTATTGTAACTAATTCCTGATACTATAAGTCACTAATTTGCAGAATTTTCCCTAAAAGCTCTGTTCCAGTGTTTCTTTTAAATAAACTATAATTTTGTATCTTTCAGTTTTGCAAATAGCATAGGCCAATTTGAAGCTCAAATTTTGTTATTTTCCATTGTTAAACTGAGTAAATGATCAGGAATACTTTGATTTCTTTTTTAAATTCAAATTTTAGATACTTTGGATGGGGAACTAAAACAGACACTGTTTACAAGGTTATTTCTGAGTTGCAAAAATTCTCTCCCCAGCCCCCAGCATTAACTAACCTTGATTTTCTCCCATGTTCTCTCATTCTATATTTGCTGCCACAATGAGAACATACAAGGACAGATTTTTCTTGTACCTGTAGTGGAAACCTTCGCATTACACAAAAACTGCCCCCGGTGTACTTGGACAATTTTGATGGCATTTCCAATTCATTGATGCCTTTGATATTTCCTAAACAGACACCATCTGTGGGCCAAAGAATCTAGACTGGAAGGCCACCATGTGATACCTGCCCAGACCCTTTATGGCCACACTGTCTGGTGCAGTGACCACTAGCCACATATGGCTGTTGAGCACTTGAAATGTGGCCACTCCAAATAAGACATGAAGCAAGCATAAAATACACAATGGACTTCGAAGATTTAGTATGAAAAACTAAATGTAAAATATCTCAATAATTTTTATATTAATTAAAAGTTGAAATGATGTTTTAGAAACAGTGGGTTAAGTTTATATTAAGAGTTTCTTTTTATTTTTTAACATAGCTACTAGAAAAATGTAAAAAGTACATGTATGGCTCACATTATATTTCCATGCAGCGGAACTGCCATAGAGCTTCCTCCCCAAGCCCAGGATACAAGAGCTAAGCAGAAACAGACCTCATCAGTAGGACGGCACAGTAGTCAGCAGTGTGGGTCTTGGGTGTGGGTGCTGGCTGACCCTCCATAGAAGAGCCACGTGGCCCTAGCCTCTCTCAGCCTCAGTAGCCTCATCTGAAAAGGCGTTCAATGACAGTGCCAACCTACCAGTGATATGTCTTCTGGGAATACAAAGTCTCCTCACTGCATTTCTCTTGTATCTTGAATAGAAACTGCAGAGGGAGAAACCCCTCCCAGAAGTTAAATAGCTGGTGTACAGGGGGTTAAATATATAGCAGGTAGAGCCAAGTCTCAAGGCTGAGCAGAGTTGGAAGTTTAGGGGCCCACTGTTCCTTTCCTCTTTTCAAAAGCACAGGTTACATCATAAATCACTGAATAAAAAATGTTCCCAGAGCCTCCTGTGTAATTTCTCATTAGACTGAGTCCATACAAACATGAAATTTTTCTTCCATCCTCTAGATCATGTTGATTCATTCCTTAACTCATTCATTTGTTCATTTATGGTTCACTCATTTGCATGTAATGAGAATGATATTTTGGAAATATTTTCAAATGTATTTTTGTCCCTTTACTCTTAATCTATGTGTGGGGTCTTTGGAATTATCAGAAGCACAAAATGCTTTCTCAACTTTGCTGTCCAATTAGATTTTTTGTTTGAGTATGTGTCAAGGTTCATTCATTCATTTATTCACTCAACAAATAACAGGGGTGGACAAAAGTAGGTTTATAATTGTGAGTACACAAAACAGTTTATTCTTGTATTATTATTGATTATTGAATTATTTTCCATATGAACAACTGTAAATGTACTTTTGCCCACCCTACATTTATTCAGTCCCTGTTGTGATCCAGCCACATTCCCAGATACAGGAGATAAAGCTGCAAAATCCAAGCATTATTATCGAAAGAAAAAGGACATTTACATCCTGGCTGGCATAGTTCAGTGGATTGAGCTCAGGCTGCGAACCAAAGTGTTGCAGGTTCGATTCCCAGTCAGGGCGCACTGCCTGGGTTGTAGGCCATGACCCCCAGCAACCACACATTGATGCTTCTCTCTCTCTATCTCCCTCCCTTCCCTCTCTAAAAATAAATAAATAAATAAATCTAAAAAAAAAAAAAAAAAAGAAAAAAAAGGACATTTACATTCCTAGGGCTCTCTTTCATGCAATAAGAGTGAGGCCTGGTATACTTGGCCCTAGATTTTTTTTTTTAATGTAAAGCAGGTCTTAAGAGAAAGAAGGAGAGAAAAGCCAGCATTTTCCAGTTCCAGTGGAAATATGGGAGAAAGAAGGGTCAGAAGTTGAGGAGGAAGCAGATACTGGAGTCCTGGGGGTCCAGCCCCAAAGGCTTAGAGAAGCCTGCTTTAGAAACACACAGGAGCCCCATGGAGCCCCAGGGATAGTGGGGCCAGTTGGCAGCCTCTACTGGATGCATACAGAGGGTCTGCAGAACCCTGGGAGAATGCCAGCCACTGGTTTAGAGCTCTGTCTAGGCTGGTGCAGAGACGGTGGTGGGAGGCAGGTAGGTAGGTGAGCCTGCTTAGTGTTCCAGGTTCCCCATAGCTCGTTCATGGAGTATGGGAGACCCGGAAGGGGGTCTGTGCACTCACGTGGGGTATGAGGTGCTAATGTCAGTGGACCAACAGAGTTTGGGGGTCAGAGAACAGAGGTGGATATTTTAAGATCAGATGCCAATATGGGGGGGGTGGGGCATGGGTTCCAATGGTGGATGCCCAAACCAGATGGGCCTGCTGTGCCTCAGCAGGAAGCAGCTCAGACAGCAGCTCAGACTAGCTACTGCACAGCAGAGATAAGCAGAGGACTCAGGGGGCATTCCAGGACCAGTCCTCCCCAAGCCCTATTCACCTCCCGGGGCTTTGAAGTCCCCTGCCCCCATGCATCCAGATTCCAGGCTGGAGAGGTGCTGGGAAAGAGAAAATATGAGAAACTGAATACTTTTACCTTAAGGGACTATTTAAAATACACCATTGGGTTACATTTACCCAGTTGAACTAAAATTCAGTATTATTTACACTCCAGCTACATAGTAGGTGAAGCCAGGGAAACAAGAATAGGCCAATTAAGACATAAACCATCAATGTTTTTGGATGTATACAAGCTTTGTGGTAGTAAATGCACTCTCTACATATCTATCCATTCAACACACATGTACGTACGAGCAGCCCACCACTGGCCAGGAACTTAGCAGACTCTCTCAAAGTAATACCTCTGGGGAATGCAGAGTCTATTGAGGGAAATGGGCTTGTGAGCCAATAATTAGTACATAGTGTGGTAAGTGCTATGATATTAGTATGAGCAAAGCACTAGGGGAATTGGAGGGGGGTGAGTAATCTCCCCTGGGGAATTTGCAGATGTCATTGATGTGGTAACATTTGAGGTTCTTAACAAAATCTGAATTCTCCTGACAAAGACATGGGGACACAGTGATTCAGGAAGGAGGCTCCAGGCAAAGGCCCTGACATATGTGTGACAGGACAGGGAACATTCCAGTGAATGCAAGTTCCATGTGGTTGGAACCAAGGGTAGGTGCAGGGAAGTGTGGGAAGTGAGGCAGAAAGGCAGAGGGAGCTGAAGACCATAGCCCCTGTGGAAGGTTTTGAAGCCCAGCAGTGTGGCGATCCTGGGTGCCTTCCATAACCCTTAAAGTTCATATCTCACTGTGTCCATGAACATGAAGCAGTCAGGAAGATTAGCAAGCATCCACATTACATTTATTTTACCTGGACTTCAACTTACAAGGTAAGGAGACACACTAGGTCTCACAGCTTTGGGATGTGCTACCAAAAAGATTGACAAAGATAATTCAATAAATATCATTCCCTGAGTTATTTGCTTGATGTGACCCAAAAAACTCTTCTTGACAGCTAACTCCTTTGAAGAACATGCCTAACTCTACTGCCCACCTGGTGGGGTGGCTGAGATAGAGATGACGGGCAGAAGGAAAGAAGAGTAGCATGTATCTCACTTACCTGAACTTCGACTTGGAGATCCGGTGGCTGAAAGAGGAAAAGGAGACATTAGCAAGCATTTCAAGGGTGTTCAGCAATGCCAGAGAAGTTTGATGTCCCCTGATGCCTATATATGGGCACTGGATGGATGTGTGCTGTGACTCAGAATAACTCTGGAGAGAGAGAACCCTATTTGTCAGCATCTTCTCATGTGTTCGTGCATTTGAATGTAAAGACTGAGGGTTGGCCCTGCTGAGAAGTCTACAAATCTCGTGTCTTCTAAGTGGAGAGGGAGAGCCCATGTTCTGAAGACGAGAGTCTACTGTGAGGTTCTATGAGGTCAGGTTAGGCAGCATGTTAGGAGTGCTGCACCTTGAGAGGAGCCACAGAGACAGGGAGGCAGGATCCCACCAGTCAGAAGCCACAGGCAGAAACCCATCAGTACACACCCCACACTGTCTGAGCAGGAGCATGGCCAATGCTTGATACAAGGTGAAGATGGGCAAAAGGAGCCAGCAGGAAATGGAAAGGCCAATAATGTCCTGGCCTGAGGCCAGCAAACTGGGCCTAAAGAAACAGTCACAGGCCCTGGGGAGAAACACAGCATACAGACAGTCATGTGGTGCCCAGAAGACCCTGGGGGACTTTGGGACAGGAGCACAGGGCAGGTGTGTTGGTGGCAGATTCGAAGGTCAGTGTATGGGGGAGGGTCCACTGAAAGGTGAAACCTTCAAGGAGGCCCTAAGACAACCTAGTTCTGATAGAAGAGTCCAGGGAAGGCTAGATAGAGGCAGGTTGGAAGAGGGAGAGAAAGAGAGAGAACGGAAGGGGAACAGATAGGTAAAGAGAGAAAGGGGACAGTGCAGGCACATGAGACAAAATACTGAAGGCCATGTGTCAGAAAGGCTTAGTGTAGAGGGAGGAAACACTGCAGAGGTTGCAGGTGGATGTGCAGAAAGGGGCAGAATGCAAGTCAGAGGTGGGAAAAGGGATGGAGATGGCAGCAGAGAGAGAGAGACACCGAGAGAAAACAGGAACAGGGACTTGGGAGGCAACTGCTGTGAGCCTGTGTCATCCCAGCTCAGCACAAAGTGAGCTCTGCTGCATAGCAAGAAAACAACCCATCTCATTGTCTTTTTATTAAAAAAATTAAACCAGAAGATGTGACAGGTGGCAAAGCCATCGAGCATGAGATAATTATATCTCTGGGGCACTGAGGATCTGAGCCAAGTGCCTTTACTGCTCTGAACCGTTAGCTAATAACCTTTTTCCCGCCTCCAACGACTGCCTGCCAGGGCTGGAGGGTTTAATCACATGTTAACAAAGCATGTGGGAGGGGGAAGGGGAGCCAGGGCAGCATTTTATTTAGAGCCACAGTTTAATGGGGAAACAAATATTTTCCAGGTGCTAATTGGTGGTGGGGAGTCAGGGGAGTCAGGGTGCTCTGTTCTGCAGCAGGGCCATGCTGAGCATGGCACCTTCCAGGTCTGCCCTAGGCTTGCTTTTGGGCAGCTCACACTGCTGGGTGTAAACACAAGCCAATGCAGACGATCATGATCCCTGTGATTCTGTCTGCAGAGCCTGGCCCGGCCCTCGGCCTTCTCTCAGTGACCTCTCTGAGGGGCCCTTCAGTGTGGACCACTGGCCCTTCCCCATGAGGCTCTCTCTCTCTCTCAGTCCAGGTGAATCATAAGAAAAATGGGTTGTTCAAAACTACCACATGGGGAAACTGAAATCTGCATGTTCATGTCTCCCAAAGAAATGACTAAGAGAGGTGGGCACAGGGAAGGATCAGGGTGAGGGGTGGCTGACTGAGGAGAGGACCGGAGCTGAGTTTAAGCATGGTCATCAGCTAAGGGTCCTTACTGGGCATTCTGGCACATTCTAAAAAGGAGGAAATGGAGCACAACTTCCTTTTACACTTAGTTACAAGTCCTGATGTATAACTCTGGATACCACACTTGAAGACTGATTTTTGTTGTTGCTGGTCTCAGGATTGTGAGTTCATGTTTTTTGAGTCTAAAACATTTGTCCCTTTTTAAGTACCATATTACTTAAGCATCCCCACTTGAGGAGGGGGAGGGTACTGTTCAAGTGGCATGTCTCTGGAGGCAAAGGAAAACCCTGGCCCTTGGAGAGCTGAGGTTAGAAGTCTCCTAAACCTCAAGTGCCTGATTCCTCATTCTCCCTGTACAGGAATTCCACTTCATGAAAACAGAGGACCCCAATGCTCTGCAGCCCTGCACTTCCTGGGAGGTAACTATTGGCTCAGGGTTTGCAAAGTGGGTCACATTGGTCTCCTGTATGAGTCAGCAAGCCAAGCCGGGGAGTAGGCAGGTGCTTTGTGTCAGAGCACCACTCCACACCCTGGGCTCTTCCACATGTGGCAATTGCTTCCTCCTACTGAACAGTCGAGGCTTCCAGCTTCTGCAAACCCCAATGGGGCAGTCACAGCTTGCTCAGGCTTATTGGCTTTTCTCATCATGTCTTTTCTGTTCTGTTCTATTCTATTCTATTCTATTCTATTCTATTCTATTCTATTCTATTCTATTCTATTCTATTCTATTCTATTCTATTCCACCCTACCCTACCCTATTCTAAGAGCCCAACAAGTGGGTTCTTAAAGAGCAGAGAGGTGGAAAAAGTTAATGTGTACCACATAAGACCATCAAAATAGTTCCACTGGGCTGGACCTGGAGTTCATCCGATCCAATATATTTTCTCTGCCCACGCCTCCAGGACAAACCTTCTAGGAAACCAAGATTTTCTTTGACATTAAGATTCAAAATTAGAGAAAAACCCAAAATTCTTCTTTGTTTTGCTTTGTCACTCAATTTGCATTTGTCGTGTTTGGACAAATATTTGAACTTCTTAGCAGCTCTTTACACTTTCAGCTTCCCTCCCCTTTCTAAAGTAACAAGCACTGTATGTTTATTACCTGCTATGGAAAGTAGTATTTGCCTGAATTGTCCCAATTTGCTTTCGACATAAATCAGATGGCATCGGAGTCACCATGCAGGCTGATACATGTCTGACTGAACCTCCTAGACTCCATAATGGCAACACCACCCACGGCTGTTATTACTAGGAGGTCAAACCCCAGCTCCTTGGGGTTTGCAGAGCACTGCTTCTGCTACTAGGTACTAGACTCAGTTGTTCCACATCTCTGGCCAGAGTCTTCTCCATCAGCCCTCCTGCTCTTTCACTGGATCCAGTAGTTGCCCTCGCTGGGCCCTCCCAATCATATCGCTCACACTCTTCCGGGCTTGCAGGCTAATGGCAGGCCTGACCTCCAGTTCTCAGCCTGGCCCCACAGTCATGTCTGTGCTGCCCTCCACCCCACGCAGACTCCCACGCTGCCTGGGCCTTCTGCCGGGCCTGCTTGGCAAACCCCTCCCTGGTCCACACCACTGTCTGTTTTTAGTGCTTCCAGGCTACAGAGCCTGCCAAAAAATATGTCAAATTGTTCCACAGGCTGACTCCACATTTACAATGTCAGCCTCCACTGCGGCTTCGGAACTGCTCAGCAATCTGTGGCCTCACTAGTTTGGTGACTCACTAATTTGAATCTCCTGTACTGTCCTTCAGGTTCTTAGGACATCTAGCCCTCGCTTTCTGTGATGAGATGACAGGTCATTTGGTATGACTCCTATCATTGACTCTTTTCAGCAGAGCCTGTTTTTAATTCTATATTCTTCGGAGAACTGTAGGCTTTGAGAGCTGGGAAGGACCCTTAGATACCACTGGATCTATGGTTTGCAATTTACCAAGTGGTATGATGTTTTACTCATATGAAATCTTACATGGAAGCCCAATGTGTAAAAGAGGCAAAAGTGGTCTTCTGTAGTCGCCCCACAGATGGTTCTAGAAGCCCTAGGCCTCTTCTGAGAGCACCTTCCTCTCCCAGAGCACCAGACTGAGACTCAGAGCAGAAGTGCTTTGGTTGATTGGTTAGCACTAGACCTTAGCACTCCTGATACCAGGTCTCTTTTTCCATTTCCAATTAGTCCCAGGGTAAATGAGCTCCTTCTTCCTGTATGAATCTAGTTCCTCCAACTCTGTCCTTAAAGTCAACACCGCCCCCCCAACCCCTGCCTTCTTAAACAGTTTCTTTCCCCAGAAGCCCTCATTTCCATTCCAGAGCCTTTAGCTCCTCCCTTGCATAGACTTCTTTTTTGACTTAAAGATCACCCCACTCTTTACTCTCATGAAAACAAGCCTCTTTCTATGCTCCTTTTTCTTCTCTCCCTCCTAGGCCCCACTTGTGCTGGCTCATTTCCACACCCTCTCCTTTGCTGCAACTCCAGATGCTACAGCCAAGTCTTTAGAGTACAGCTCCCGAACACACAGAGCCCACCCCCTCTGCTCCTTCACGAAGGGGACTCTGGCCTGAGCCAGTGTCATCTCATACCTCGGTGACTGCTCTGAGGCCGCTTCACTGGGAGCCTGCTTCCCTCCTGGCCTCACTCCTTCTCATTCTTTTCTTCACATCAAAGTGATCCCTCGAGAATGCAAAACTAACCAAATCAACCAGCTCCACATTCCATGATTTCTCACAGTCCTATGACAAGACCAAGATCATCAACGGCTCTACCAGGCCCCGCTCCATCTCCAGACTTGGCTCTCCAGTCTCCATTCATGCCACACTGGCAAAACTGGCCTTCTCTCCATTCTTCCACCCAAGGGCCTGGAAATGCACTGTTGCCTCTGATTGGAACATTCTTCCTTACTCTTCACCTCAGTGATGTATGTTCAATCCTTCAGTTCTCAGATGAAGTTTTATTTCTTCACAGGACTGTTCCTAACCTGCCAGTCTAAATCAGGTCTCTCCCTGGGTCATTAACCCCACATTACAGTTACTTTTTCTTCTTAACACTCACCCCAACTTTAATGACTTATTTACTTATGTATGACAGTGTTCTATCAGATTGTGAGCTCTAGTGAGGGTGTCAATTTTCTCTGCTGCTCTGTACCTCCTTCGCCTAGCTCCAAGCTGGGCACACTACTGATAGAGTGTACAAATAGAGAGCTGTGTCTTGAAATTGTTCCTCCCATGGTTTCCAAGCAAGTGTTGCTGTCAGTTCCCCTAACACCTCTTTGTCTGTTTCATTTACTTCTTCTGATTCTTCTGTATGTCCATGTCCCTTCATTCCTCTATGAACAAGCATTGTTCTAGGACCTCATGAATATTTTTTATACTGATAACCTCAAATATGTGACTCCATCCCTACTCGAAGCTGGATCTCGGACTTCCACGGCTTGCTGTGTGATCCCTGCAAGTCCCTCGGGTTGGCCCTGCCTCAGATGGCACTTCAGCATCCTTATCGCGTTCGGTCCCCAAACTTTGATGGCTCCTCCTTCTGCGTCACTTGTCTTCTCACCTGCCTCCTTCACCCCAAGTATCACATTGCCATTTCTTTCTCTCTGCCTGCCCCTCTCAAGAACCATCTACATCCTGGCCTCTCACTTCATATAAAGCCTTACCTGGACTCAGACCTCATCTTACTACACAACTAGCCTCACACTGTCTCCTCACCACATACCTACTCTCAGCCCCCAGCCTGTTCTCACACTGTCTCTACCACCAGGAATGCTGGCCGTCTCATGCCATCATTGTCTGAAGTGGGGCAGGTGGTGGGTGGGAGATGGAGGAAGACCATAATTTATTAAGTACATATTATAATTCTGGCACTGTGACCAGCTATCTTGTATGTATAGCACAGCTCTATATATGTGGACATTCATGGGAATAACAGGGACCATTTCTACAGAGCTCCTGGAGCTTGCAGAGTGTGTCCTCAAGGCAATGACAGATATACAAGGGAGACTGCCAGCTTCTCTCTGTGGGGGGCAATCATACTCTTCCAACACAACCTCCCGCTCTCCTGAAACACACTGTCCAGTGACGTCCTTCCAGTTCTCCAATCCCTCCTGGTCTGTGACTTGGGCCAGGCCCAAAAGCTAGAGGTGCAGGGTCCTCAGTCATTTTCTCTCCAACCCTCCTTGGTGTCAGGATCACAGAAACACCTAGAACTGATGGACTCTGAAGGCCTGCAATCTGCATGTCCCTAGTGTAACTGACTGGGGCCCGCTTTAGAAACTCAATTGCTTGTTTTATATGGTTCCAACAGAAGAGAAGGGAAAAGAGGCTTGGACTTCTGCTTAAAATGTAATTAGCACTGTATTTTAACAACATTTGACAATAACTGCTTCCCGACAATGCTGAGAAACCTGCAGTGCAGACTCCCTGGTGCCACTGTCAGAGTGAGTGATTCTGAAGGCCCTGTGAACCCTGGAAACAGAAGTTGCAAGAGCTGGTCCGTTCCTAAGTAGCGATTCCCTTCTCCTTTGGCTCGGAGGCCATTCTTAAGGCTGGTGTGCTTATGTTTAGACTCAGCTAACCTTTTAAAAAGGGTTGGGTTTGCCCAGACTGTGGAGTCATTTCGCAGGGGAAGGGTAAAATAAGACATCTTTCTTCTGATGGAGTGACTTAGAAACTCACTTTTTTTGAGACTGGCCCTCCTCAGAGCCTGCTGTTTGCAGTGCCTATCAGCATCTGGGTGTGCCTATAGTGTTCATGCCTCCTGAAATGGAACCTGACTTGTCCAGGGGAAGGCCTCATGCTCTAGGTTTATTTTTAGCAGGTAGACCATTCCCCCATCCCTTCCTTTTGAAGGGAACATTTCCTGGGACTGACTACTGGTTTCCATTTTCAAGATTGAACTAAGCTAGGTGATTGTGATAATCCATGTGTGGACTGTTTCTCCTCACACCTGGCACCGTCTCAGGCCAAAGTCAGCTTGCTGAAGCCAGGGCCTGGGAAAGGGAAGTCTTGCACATCTGAGCTGGGGCTTATGTTAGAGGAGTCAGCCACAGTCTAAGCTAAGCACGGGTGAGTTTATTAACTCAAGTCTGCATTTCAGGTATCTGTTTCCGTTCACCAGATGGATAACTTAGAGATGCAGGTAAACCAACATGTTTATCATCTTGCAGTATATTTTCTTATCTCTTTGCCTTGCTTCCAGGTCACCTTTATCAAAACGGAAAGGGTGGTTAACAGGACCCAGGGACCCTATCACAGCTGTCTCTTGTGAAAGGGGGTGGGAGGGGCTGGGGAGAAAAAGGCTTCAGAGACACCCTCAACACCCCCTGTCCCAACACACACACTCTGTATTTCTCTGATGTGGTGGAAAGGACCTCAAGATCCAAGAGCTGGAGCCTCACAATTGAGGAGCAGTCTCAATTTAAGACCCATTACCACTGCCTAGGGGCTGTGGTCACACCAGCACCCTCCACTCCCCACACAGGTTTCAGTTCTTTGCTGTGCTCTGAACTCCGCCCTTCCCAGCGATGAGCCATCCCATTCTGACTTCAGGAGCAGCTGCCCTGCCCGTGCCCCCACAAAAGCCCAGCCCCTGGGCTCGCCGTGCCTACTCACGCCAGCCTGGCCCCACAGTTTTCTCCTTCGATGTCACCGCCAGCCACATTCTCAGTGTTGACAGACTCCGTCTCACTTGTGGGCATGCTCACTGCAAGAGTCAAAGGGATGCAGAACAAGGCATGAGAACAGGGAAGAGACAGGGAGAGAAGAGTATTAGTCTGCAGTATGCGCAATCCCAGGAGGAGCGCTGTTGGGAGGAGGAGAGCCAGTAGCACCTGCTGGTGAGGAATAGGGGTGCTGCTGAGAGCAGGCTGAGGCCCTGGCCAGGCGTGGGGTTTCTGTGAGGGAATGACATGGCTGCTGCTCAGCATAGGGTAAGCTATGCTGCCAAGGACACTTTAAACTAGTGGAATGTGGAAGGAAACCTGGTGATAAGATCATTTACCTTATAGGAGACATCCTGAGAACACTCACCATTGAACCTTTCACTACCCTCAACTCTGCCATAGGAGAGGCTGTGGGAGCTTTTCCATTTGCATCCACTACTTGCCATAAAATGGGAAGCTTTCCTGAAAATATTTTATTCCTTATTTGTTCCACCCACCAATTCTAAGGTGAGGGTCCCAAACTGAGAGTCCAGCTCATTTGTAGAAAGGGCATTTCTACTGCCTGCATGAACTTTGAGCTAGATTTGGAGGAAGACCCTTACCTATGGTGCACATTGAGGCCCGAGTCTGTTACGTCCAGGACAGGGCCTGACAGAGAACTCAGGCAGAATCAGGCACTGGTATTCAAACTAACACTGAAGACCTCAGAAGGGAAGAATCCACCAAACCCGGTTCACATTTGGCTTGAAGATAGACTGCAGGGACACAATCTCCCCTTCCAGTGACCTTGAGATGCCCACCTCAGCAGGCTAACTTGGGATATGAACCATCTATTTCTGCTAGCACCAACCTCCCATCCATCTCCAGTCTCTTCCTGAGGTGGCAGGGGCTGCATTTCCAGACCAGCAGGACTTTTTTCCTTGGAGCCCATTTCATGGCTTAGAAGAAGCCATTTCTTTTACTATTGTTTTTTTAATTCCAAATAAAAATTTACCTCAAGAAAATTCTTTTCTACCCTTTTAATATGACATATCAATGAGTTTTTGTGCCAACCCTTGTTCGCTAGGGTAGCCATCCAGCATGGGTCCTGGTTCAACTTTTCTCGCAGAACACAACTCCTCATGTGGAGAGAAATCACTAGCCCACAGCAGCCAAAGAATCTGCAGCTAGTGAGGGTATGGCATCAGGTGATGTGGGGCCACAGCCCAGGAAAAGACTTCTACTGGATAATGTTGCTGAACATGAATTTTTCTCAGTTTCTTCTCTTGTGGATGAACACAAGATGGGCAGGTGAGAAGACTCATTTCAAGAATACTGAAGATACAAAAATAAAGCCCATAACTTACCCTGTGGTTTGACTGTCATACATGAGAGACTTCTGAACCTTAGGACTCATTTTCAACAAAGTTGGATAACAAGAAATCTAGATGCCATTTTAAAGACGTTTAGAGCTGGATGGGACTTTAGATATTATTTAGCTCTACCTTGTCCCCTTCAAATCACAGGATAGGAAGGTGAGGTCTAAGGAAGGGACAGATGCCAGGGACACAGTGTTTGGGATTTGGACTGGAGCCGAGTGTCAGGACCTCTGCACCAGGCTCAGCTAGACCATCCCTGTGCTGATCAACCCCCTTCCCTACAATCTAGGATGGTTGAGGTTCTTAAAGCTAAATCAGGCTGGGGGGCCTCATTGCAGCATGGTGAGTAGCCAAATGGTAGTGCTGAATGTCACAACTTCGCATCCTCAAGTTTGAGGGAGCTGGTCAGCAAGACCTGACTAGCACTGGGAGCTGGGAAGATAGACTTTCAGAGCTTTCCAGAATTCTTTACTCCATGCCCATTAATGAAGAAGTAATATAAAAGAAGAACCTTCAGTCTTCAATCCATCTATCTGCGGCCATTTCTGACCGAAGACTCCTTTAACTCTTCAGCTATCATTATTTAAAGAGCTGAGCTGTGCACAAAAATCTATCTCACTTTGTGACACTTTGCTCCCAGAAAGCCCCTTAGCTATGGAGTAATGTGATGGTGGTGGTGCTAGGTGTGGAAAGACAACCAAATTAGGAGGAGGCAGGCCTGGGCATTAGGAAGGACCATATAACCTGCTAAATCAAGGCACTGCCTGTACCAGTACCAAGCTGGCATTTACAGTTACCTTAATCATGGCTGGCACTATCCAAAGGAAAGATTCCATGATGGAATAGCTACTGATTATCACATCTGCTGACTTTATAGATACAAAGAGATGACAAGGCAGTGGCTGTGAATGAGACACATTGACATCTCCTCACAAAAACACACACATACATACACATACACACACAACCACTGCACCACAAGCCATCAAGAAAAATACCCTCCCATCCAGCCTGGTATATAGCAACAGACATTTATTTTACACACAGAGAGCACAGAAGAACATTACCATGGGTTTCTGTAGAGTGACTAAACCAAGCAAACTTCCCTTTCTTCTGATCAAGCAAGCCTGCTGGAGCTCCTCCTTTCACAGACAAGATGGTCATTTTCAAGAACCAGGAACAAGACATCAACAGAGAGCATGCAGTCAGCCACGGGCAAAAGAAAGAAACAGAACTCAGCTTTCACATAGAACATCCATTTTCATCTCCAAAAATAAATTAAAAAATTGTAAAAAGCAGTACACCAAAACAAGTAAGAAAACATAATAAAATAGAACCAAAACCCCAAATCACATGAACTAATGATATGAAACAAATGATGGATGCTGGGGAGAAGGAGCTACTCTAGCAGAGGCTTCACTCTACACTGGTCTATCTAGTTAGTGGCTTGGAGAGAGGGCTTCCTAGGAGGGACCACCCCACACCCCTGTGGCCTCCTTTGGGAGATGCCCTTTTGCAGGCTCCAGTGGGGTAACTGCTAAAATCAAATTGGTGTCCCCCTTTGCCCCTACCCAGCAGCCAGGTGACTGGACTTCTTCCCCACCTGCAGTGGATTCACTTACAGGTGGAAAAGAACAGTGGGTCTACTCGGCCCTTTGTCCAATTCAATCATTCAATTCCATTTAGTAAAGACCTACCAGGTGCCTCAGGCATGATCACATCACTAACATATATGCATCTATTTTTAAAAGGTTTAAAGAGGCAAACAAATTGCTCAATAGCTTGTCAATGGGTGGTCTTTTGAGGAGGTTTGTATATAAGAAAGAATTCTGTATTCTTTCTTATTCTTCTCTCAGGCCTAGGCTGTAGCTGAAGAGGGGGTGCTGGTGGGAGTGTAAAAACACTGATTGTTGCAAGTGTAACAGGGGGAGCTCAGTATTCTGCCATGGACTTTGAGTTCTGGATATCAAATGCTTTAGCTAATTCCCGAGTCAGAGAATTTTCCCACTCCCTTTGATAGAACTGTGCCTCCAGCAGGCCCCGTGGAGGGTGCTGGGTAAGTGGGGAGTCAGGCAAGGTCATGGCTGGAGAGTGAGGTGGGAAATCTCCTACCACTCATGAATGGAAGCATGTGCCCTGATCAGGAATGGGTAGTAGTGTCCCCCTCAGTTCCAGCAAAGGGCATAAAGGGAAGGTCAATCCAAGCTTTAGATGCTTCTTTATCTCATCCTCTCCCCCCCAGAACTCAGATGATGTCCAATGAACATCCTTGAATGCTACTTGTTAGTGAAAATACTGAACGCTGGCTTGTGAATGAAAAGAGTCAGGTTTATTTTTAACCTGTGTAAAGGGCTATTTCCCAAACACACATCTTAAAAGACAAAACTTGGAATAAGCATCAACTTCACAATGATGAGTATTGTTTTTTTTTTTCTCTTCTGAAAAATCCTATTTGAAAAAACACTGAGAGCTAGGAACTGAAATGAATGACTTGGCTCAAATTTGCCTTCAGGAAAAGAAGATACGTCTCAGTTTAGAATGATAACAGCCACTCAAGTGAACATCTCATGAGGGGCCTTCTATTCAGGAGGATGAACAACAGCCTTCCAGTCACCAAGTTTCTGTTCACACAGTTGTCTGGGTGGGGTGGGGGGTGGGAACCCTGACCAATGATGAAAAGCCAGGGACCTGTGACCTGCTATACAGAAGCGTTATCCAACTTTTGGCTTTTACATCAATATTTTGCCATCTTGTTCAACTTCAGAAATAACTGTAGGATAACTTTAAAAACAATAGAAAGAGCTTGATAAAACCATTGAATCTGACCAGGACTTGTCTTTCCTGTGGGCAAAGTTGGCAACCACCTGTGGGGAGAGTGATTTGCAGAGCATCTAAATCCTCTCCCCTGACGACAGGCAGCAGTCCCCACTAGATCTGCTCTTTTGGGTGAAGTTATACGAAGATTCTGTGCTGAAATGAAGAAGCAAATAAGATGAGTAAAGATGCAGTTATGTTCCCATTACTAAGGGATTAGACAGCAGGATCATAGCTGATTCTTTAAGGGACTTGCTACCCTAGAGAGATGAACTTGGATTCCTTCTTGAAAACTGGGTGCCCAAACAGTTGAAAGTTGAGAATTATAAATGCTGGATACTAAGTCTGGGGATGAGATGGACAGCCTGACTCCCCTTTGGGATACACAGATGTTGAACTGGATATAAATCAAGACAGAAAGATGGCAAAGAACCTAGGTGCCCAGAGGCACCTCTCCTCTACAGGCAGCCCCCTGTCTGGATGCTTTGAGAAGGGAAGCTTGATGTCTGCTCATCTGCAGAAAATGTGGTAATAATATACCCTCTGTAGAATGAAACGTGCCTCATTGAATGGATTTAGGAAGAATGAGGGGAAAGGCCACTAGAGACAAAGCTAGTTTTCTGACTTTCTAACTTCTTTGTTACTAGGTACTGAGGATCAAATCTGGGTCTCAGGGCTCTCTTGTCCCTTGGCTTCTACTGAGAAGATTCAAAAAGAAAATGAGATTCTAATGAAACAGTAATTAACAGCTGCCATTGCAGGGGGTGAATAACATAATTACCTATTTAGTAATATCACCAATGGCTACAATATGAATTGTCTAGACTTCATCTTGCCAACAACTGATTACATCTTGAATTAGTGTCATC